TTTGATGTTTCCTGCATCATTCAATATTTCACCCACAGAATCCTTCAATATTGCAACTTGAGGCTTGACTTATTTTCTGCAGTTCTTTGAGAAATGCCGAGCATGGTCTTCCCTTTTGATTTTCTAACTCCAGGCCTTTCCACATTCCATTATAATGCTTTGCTTTGTCTTCTCAAGTTGCCCTCTGAAATCTCTGTTCAACTCTTCCGCTCCATCATCTCTTCCATTCGCTTTAGCTCCTTATGTCCAAGAACAAGTTTCAGAGCCTCTTCTGACATCCATTTTGGTCTTTTCTTCCTTTCCTGTCTTTTTAATGACCTGTTGCTTTCTTCATGGATGATGTCCTTGATGTCATCTCACTTTCGTCACTGGTGTTCAGTGTGTCAGACCTATCCCTCAGGTGGTCTCTAAATTCAGGGGGTATATACTCAAGGTCACTCTCGTGCACTTGTTTCCCTTGTCTTTAGCTGTAGGTTGAACTTGCATATGAGCAGCTGATGGCCTGTTCCAGAGTTAGCTCCTGGCTTTGCTCTGATGGATGGCACCGGCTTCATTGTTTCTTTCCACAGATATAGTCAACTGGATTCCTGTATATTCCATCTGGTGAGGTCCATGTGCCCATCTGCCATTTATGTTGTTGAAAAAAGGTATTTGCAATGAGTGTCATTGGTCATGCAAAAGTCTATCACACAATCTCTGGTGTCGTACCTTCCAACAACTGATCTTTCTTCTCTGTTTCCAATTTTTGCATTTCAATCATCAGTCATTTTCAAAGTATCCTGGTTGCATGTGTGATCAATTTCAGACTGCAAAAGTTGGTAAAAAAACAAAACAAAACAAAACAAAACTTCAATTTCTTCATCTCTGGCTTTAGTGGTTAGTGCATAGATTTGAATAATAGTATTACTGGGTCTTTCTTGTGGATATTATCCTATCACTGATAGTGTTGTACTTCAGGATTGATCTTGAAGTGTTCTTTTGAAAATGAATGTGATATCATTCCATGCAGAGGAGACCATGCGATTGTCTGATTCAAAATGGCCCAAACCAGCCCATTTCAGCTCACTAATGCCTAGGATACCGATCTTTATGTATTCTGTTTTCCTGGGTTCATACTGCACGCGTTCCACGTTTCAACTATTAATGGACGTTTGCAGCTGTTTCCTCTCATTTTGGGTCATACCCCATCAGCACGTGGAGGTCCCGGAAGCCTTGCTCCACCCACATCGTTGAGGCCAGCTCTGCTCTGAGGAGGCAGCCCTTCCTCGGTCGTATTCTGAGTCCCTTCTGACCCGAGGGGCTCATCTTCTGGAGCTACATCAGCAATACTCCAACGCTATTCACAAGGTGTTCAGTGCCCAATTTTTTCAGAAGTAGACTCCCATGTCTTTTTGCCTCATGTGTCTGAGTCTGGAAGCTCTACTGAAACCCGTCCACTACGAGTGACATTGCTGGTACTTGAAACACCTGTGACATGGCTTCCAGCATCACAGCCACACACCACCCACCTCTGCACGACACACTGACAGATGAGCGATGGGACAGAACAACTGCTAATGGTTCCTGCTAACGTTTCCTGCTAACGTTTCCTGCTAATGGTTCCTGCTAACGTTTCCTGCTAACGTTTCCTGCACGCTCGATCCAGTGGGATGACATCTGTGAGTTATTGTTTTATTCTTACAACAATTTTATGAGTAGGTGCAACTTCTTCATCCCATTTACAGATGAGGAAATGGAATCCTGGTGAAATTAAGTTTGGCTGCATAGTCAGTAAGTAGAGAGGATGATTTAATGATGTCACTGTGCTGCTCAGCCTCGCAGAGGTGCACAGAATGGAAAACATGCAGGCACCAAGTGGACCCTTGCAAACACTGCTCATTGCCTCCCAAACCTAGTCCCCCCTTCAGAATACGAGCCACGTGTCGTGCTGGAAAACAGATTGCTGAGCCTTTCTTACACGTGCTGCTGCTGTCAGGGCCCGTTAAGTCAACACTGAGTCACAGTGGCCCTGTGTAGACAGAGCAAAACACTGCCTGGTCCGATGCCATCCTTACAACTGTACCCAGATGCGGCCACATCACTAAGTTCTGGCCAGTTGGTTGTCACGGGCGGTTTGACATTCTTATTTCCCCTTTTCGAATATTTCACTCTACTTGATCTTCTGCAGTTCATCTTTTCTCAGGGATGCAGAATACAGATATGATGGCTGGCTCTCCAGCAGCCATCTTGGACCGGGAGATAACCCTGAGGATGGATGCCACGCACTCAATTTAAGCAGAAGTAAAGATGTGCTCCGAGTCTCTGATGACAGGGGCACCAGCCAGCCTTGCATGCCAGCCTCAGGAGTCCTTTGTACATGAGAGGAAACACTGTCATAGTGAAGCCACCCCTTGGGGATGGGGGTGGGAGGTATGCTGCTTTCAGTGGACACACAGTTCCTAAATGACACCAGGGTCACCAGGCCCCACCTGAGGTGCCTGCCACTCCACTGTCCCACGACCTCACGACCTCACACGCTGCACAGCACGTCAGTGTGAGGCAGGACGAGAGAGCGTCCCAAGGCTGGTGGAAGAGAGGGGAGTTCTCGTGAGAGCGGGCTGCTGCAGTTGAGAAGAGGGTTTGGGACAGGCTGTAGGAGTTCTAGGAGCGTTCCTGGCAGGGGCAGTGCTGGGCGCAGGAAGCAAAGAGGATGTTTCCTGAGTGTGGGCTCCGCAGAGTGGATGGAGGACGCCACTTGGGCAGCGTGGCCGGGAGCTCATCAGGTCAAAGGTGCTGATGAGGGCAGGTTCCAACAACTACTCATGTAAGACAAAGGGCTGAGCCGTGTCCAGTCAGAGACCCACTAGGAGTCTAAGAGAAGGCACTGCCTTGCAGGAAATGACACACTGAGGATGCCCTGTGCCCCAAACTAAAGCCAACAGTCAATAGGACCCCTTATCACCTCCAGCACCCACCGCCGTCATGTTTCCGAGCGAATGGCAGGAGAAACACTTACCATGCCCAGGCCACTGTCTGTGACTTTTCACTGAGAATGATTCTGGGTGTTCTGGCAGGACTTTGTAAGAAGCCATCAGCGTGAGTAACAAATGGGGGTGGCGGCAGGGGAGGACCAGGCATTGACCGATAGGTCAGCTCATACATCACTTCTGACAGGACCAGTAATTTAGAGGCAGGAGGAAGCTCAGGTCATTGTCTGCAAACACCCACATCAGGACTGTGCCCATGTGCTGGCACTGCACCCTCACGTCCACCCCGTCTCTGCACGGCCCACACGTATCTGCACGGTGCCCACGCAGTCACACTGTGCCCGCCTGTTTACCACGCACCCACGTATCTGCACGGTGCCCACGCAGTCACACTGTGCC